GCGAAGCGCGCGATTCAGGAGCGCCTGACGTTGTACCTTCACGGCCTCCGCGGCCGCCCCGCGGCGCTCAGCCGGGACGACCTCCAGGGCGTCGGCCGCCGCCTCCTCGAGCGCGCCGTCCTGGCGGAGTCGGAGCGCCGTGGGGTGTCGATGGCCCTCCGGGTGAACAACCAGGCCCTGCCTTTCACCAAGGAGGTCGAGCGACGGCTCAAACGATCGGTCGATCGCTACGTCGAGCGGCATTTTCTCCACCCGGGCGCCGGGGAAAAATCGGCCGAGGAGCTGAGAGGCCGCCAACCTTCTACCCCGCTCCACGGCGCCGAGGATTCCCCGGTCTATCAGCCCTAGTCTCGGGTTTTTTAAAAAATATATATATATATCAGGTGAATCGATATCCGCCTGGATTTTTTCCAGCCTTCTGCTTTAGAATGGGATGGCAAAAAGGGAAAGAACAAAGCAGCAAATGTCATAAAGGAATGACAACGTGCAATATAATAGTGTGAAAAAGGCTTTTGCTGATAACAAAGGTGATGTTACGCAGACAAATTCGTTCTAACAAAAAAAGAAACTCTTTAGAATGGGTTTGTTTTGAAGAAGGGTGTATAAAAAGGTAAAATGAATTTCCAGATATGAGACCGGTTGAAACTTTCGCGGTCGTAATTCTATTCACCTTATGGTTCTCTTCCTTCTTTGCCTTACTACTTGTGATTCATTTTGGCTAAACTTTTACGCATATTTATTTGGAAGTAAGATTTCTGTGTGTGTATATACAGGTAAAATGAGCAGAGGAATGGGAATAGTCATATACCAAGAGAATAGACTATTTCTTGTCCTAATGCTATCAATTTTAAATCTAATTATTATTCAATCAGAGTATTCCGTTTTCGGAAAAGATGTCAGTGAATATAAATTAAATTTTATTTTTACATACAAACACATACACATACATATATATGTATGTATGAATGTATAGCTAATTTATGAATGGTAAATTAATGGACACAGTGATGCTCACGAAACCCTTCTCATAATCTTTGCTTCTCTTTTCAAAGTATTTTTTTCTTAAAAAAAACTGGTTTAATAGGATTGCGATTATATAAATTCATATTATCACAATCGCTACCTTTCGCTTAATTTTTTCATCAGTTTATGCCTTTTAAGCAAGTGTATTTATATTTCCATAGTGTGCACTTTCTTCCTTTAAAATTCACGGTAAGCTGAACAAATTCATACATAACTCATAATTACTCTCTCCCCTTTTGTGTGCCCTTGTCAAGTGCACAAGGCTCAGAGAGAAAGTTAAATCATAATTAACAAAAAGAAAGATCGCATCGACCCACATCATTGGTTGAGAGATTCTTGATTATATAAAAGCGTACAATACTATTAAGTCAAACGAAAAACTAGCCTTGAGGGATCACTCTTAAAAGGAAAAAACGAGAGATTTATTATAATCTATTTTCCCCTTTTTCCTTTAAAGGGAGATTTAACGCAAAGACAGACACGCTCCGTGCATGCTCTCCTGTACGGCTATTCAGAAATTAGAGCGGTATGGACAGCTCGCACTAAAGCGAAATTCTGTTGAAAACTTTGTGCTCTCCTCTCTTAGCGACCCGAAACGTGCAAATGTCTACGCGCTCACACATGTAGAAACGTGGAAAGAATGCCTACACGCCCTCTCCCCGAAAAGGCCTTCAACCCATCTCGAAGAAAAGAATTTCGTCAACGAAAAAGACAAAGACGAGGAGAATGGGGAAGTCTTAGAAGAAGAAAAATTCATCTCTTCATCCTCGCCTGTGCTCATAACGGATTCGTTAGTCTACGCTATTAGCTTCACAGTGTCTCTCCTGAGCTATCACCTCTACACCTCCCTACAAAAAGGACGAGGAATTTCAACGGAAAAAATACTCGAGGAGAAAAATAACACCGCGAATAAGGAGCTTTATGTCTTCAGTCCCGCCGATTTCTCCGTCGAGGCGGCTTTTTTGCATGTGGAGGAGCTTTTCACACTTCTTGAAAACATTGTGAGTTGTATAGTCCAGCAGAGCGTCTTTTCCTCCTTGACAACAGGAGAAGCCGTTGGGGCGTGGGTGAGCTCTCGCCATGCGCGCGTCCGCATGCATTTTTCGCATTCCTTCACGGAATCCTGGGCGCATTTATTCTCCAATACCATTAGCTTCCTATGCTTTGTCCTCGCTTTCCAATCACAAAGTCAATTAGAGGATTCAACACCGTCGAATTTGTTAAAGAACAAAGTTAGCGTCTTTTATGATAAGACTCTCGTGTTGTTGGAAGGAACTTCTCGTCAGCTCCGGCGTTGTTTGGCGTGCTGCCCTTTTTCCTCTTCCAATGGGACGCATCCGATTCTAAAATCCCTCTTTTACAGCCGTCCCTGTGCGGTACTTCTCAGACAGCAAATTAAAAATTGGACATCGTTGACCTACCCCGGGAAGATGAGCGCGGAAAAGGTTTTGGAAAGTGGTGCTCTTTCAAAAGGAGCGAAAACCAAGGATACATATGAGCAGAAGGCAGGTTTTAGTCATGGCGATTCCTCTACTTTATCTTCTGGAAAAATCAGTCCTCCTGTAAAAAGAAAACAACCACCTTTGCAATGCCCAATGCTGCGTTTACTTTTCGATTTTATTTGGGTAAATATGGAGAGTGTGGAGGCTAACCGGAATGTGGAAGGTGGTGGTGCGAAAATCTCCAGCGTATATAGTATGCTGGAGAAGATTCCGTTATTTCAAAAAATCTCCATCCTTTATGCGGTTTTAGGAGAAATGCCTACCGCTTGTGTGCGCACTAGGGCCAAAGGCGAAGACCGAAACGAGGAATTACTATTTGAAATGGATTTAGGTCAACACGAGGAGACGGTTCGGGGATTATTGCGGGATCTTCTCGCTTCGAAGGCGTGCAATCGGGAGACCCGTTATGTGATTTACTATCGTGGGGACGATACAAAGCTGATGTTGAGCAATGTCCGAGAAGCGTCGGAATACGCCTTGCACACCTTCACCACGACCCCCCCTACCGAGAGCGCCTTATTGCACGACCTCCTCGAACTCGTTCGAGATGACGCTTCGGTGGATTTGGAGGCGACGAATACGATGCGTCCTTCTCCGTCCTGGCGAAATCGTCAGGAAGTGGGGCTGGCCTTTACCCTTGCGCAGTGGATGGTGAGTCTGCCGCTCTTTTTCGAGAGTTTTTGCGCCGACCCCGAGTGGACGGTCTTCGCAGAGGCGCAGCAGGGGATCGCCCGACGGCGAAACGCCTCGGTGCGAACCGACCTTCGCCGACCCCAACCCGCCCACGCGGGCGATCCCGCGCGGCCGGAGGCCCCTTCAGGCCAAACCTCCCCCCTGCTTTCCTACGCCGACTCCTTTGCGAGCGCCCGGGCCTCGCAGCTCTCGACGCTCTCCCGCCCCTCCCTCGACTCCTACCGCGCCTTTCTGTCTGTTCTCCCTCCCACGACAGGGGGGGGAGCCCCGCACCAAACCACCTTCAGCAGTGCCCACAATACAACTAACACCGGCCCTAGCGCGAACGACCACGATCCCCAGCATCCCAGTCATTGTCGCAATTGTAACAAATCTCCCAGTAATTCTCACAGTAATTCTCACAGTAGCAATTCCAGTGATTGTGACAACCGTTACAATTCCGATTCCTCTTACGATCCCAGTAGTTATGACACCTGTGACAACCCGAACGATCCCAGTGATTCCCGCCATTCTCACGCGAGTAGCAATCCCCCGTATCCCGCGAATTCCCACAATGGGGAGGATGGGGCGAACACGGAAAGGGGGCCCTCCGGGGATGACAATTCGAACCTCCCGCTGATTCTGCTGGAGGAGCTCGTCCTCGGGCTGGGCGGGTGGATGGCGGTGGCCCCGGCCGGGCTGCTCGACCGCCACGGCCTGCGCGCGATCGGCTGGGGGGCCATCGCGGGCCTCCTCGGCCTGCTCGCCCCTTCGACGAAGGAAGCGAGCGTCGGGGGGATTTTTCACCTCTCGCAGGATATTCGTTATAATCACGGCCTCGGCTACGAGTGTCTGGGGATGATCTTCGCAAAGGTCATTGCGCCGGAGTTGGAGATGCGAATACGATCCCAACACGAAGGCGACGGGGAGGCTAATTCGACGTTGTTGGCTATCGAGGGGAATAAGGGCTCTCAGCGTGGGAACGGCAAGCATCAAGGGATGATTGGTCCTGGTGAAACATCGTCCTCGGGGTTCGTTTTACCTTCTACGCATCATTCTCGCAATAAAAATGATTATTCTCCCGAGAAGAATGATTCGAATTATGTGGTAGAATTATTGGAAAAGAAGAAGGTGGTTGAAAAGGCCATTTCACGATGTCTGGCAGCGTACGAAACCATCGCTCCGCAGGTGGTGGATATGAAGCTCCCGGTGATCCTACGCATGATCGCCTTCGCCGTCACCACGGGAAAGACCGAATTTTCCTCTTTCCATGAAATCCATAACACGAAAGACAAATCAAAAAACACTGCCATTGTTAGATTTGATGGAGCCAATCATACTAAATCGTTGCCAACCAATATACATTCTTCCTCGTTGTTGATGTTGTACAATTTCTTCGCGAGCGTGGTGCGGCGTTTAGGGAGGAGCAATAAACTTACTTTCCTGTTCGACGCCCTCACCACCTCATCAGTCTCCGAGCATTTGCAAACCCACCTCACGGGGGAGGTTCAAACCGGATCGATTAATCCAAAAGCGAATACCCGGTGGAATGAAAATACGTATATCTATGAAAGCAACCTAAGCGTGTCCGCACTTCATCGCATGTGCAGTTATCCCGCCATCCGGGAGGCTGTGATTCGCGCGTGTATGGATTCACTGGATCCGGAAAACCTACTTTCGTATTTGCTTGATCTCATACGTGATTGGGCGGCCCTCGACGATGATGAAAATAAAAAACGTGACGCGAAGAATTCGGTCCAATTGACAACGCGCTTTACGGTGGAAAGGGTTTTATTTTATCTGCAGCTCGTCTCGACGATCTTAGAGGGGGTCGTACCCACTTCCATCACAAGCAGTAGTATCTTGGAGAAGGCCGCTGAGGCGGAGATGCTTCTGATTGCATTTGCCCACTGCCGCTTAGGTGAAACTAACACGATGCATAATAATCCCAACGGCGAAGACGAGGAAAGGGTTAAAAATGAGGAAGAAACGGATGAATTTTGGGAAAGTGGCCCTCCGATGCGGCCGAAGCAGCGGCATCTCCTTTGGTTGTACACGTTATACGCGATTTACCAATGCCGGCGGCTGATGCGCGCCTGTATACAGGACCTTGGCATGCGCAACACGATCGACTACGTCGACGTCCTCGAGCAAACGCTGTGGAAGGTCACCTCAAAGGTGGAGAATGTTGTCGGAAGCTGGGAAATCGGCGATTTGGAAGAAAAAATGAGTCGAAAAACGCACATGCCGTATCCTCCTTTCGCGCATGTGGGCGTGATGTTGCCGCAGCTCGTGCTCGAGCGCCTGACGCTTGCGCGGGCGGTCGAGACGCTTTTAGCGCGCCCCATAAGCTCCACGAAGGAGGCCCGAAAACTCGCGGAGTACGTCCTTCACGCGATTGAGCCTCCAACCGATGACGATGAGGCCAATAACACTTCCGGCGACGTGGGACGCCGGAGGCAGGACTTCAAGACCCAACTCCGATGTCTTCACCTCGCAAACGGCATCACCGAGGCGGAGTGGAGCAGCCTCGCCCACTTCGCCAAGCCGAAGCGCATGCGATTGTGTTTAGTCCCGCTTCTCCGCGTGACCTTTTCTCTTGCGTATTCCCCCTCTGAGGAGGAAGGGCCGGAGGCGATGGAAAGGTTCTTAAAAAATACAACCTCGGAGGCATTATTAACCACGCCGCTATGGCTAACGCGGTGTCTACGCGCCTCGGGCGGTATCGTCGTCCGCGCCGTAATCGACGTAATCCGCGCCGTTTCCGCGGCGGAGATTCGCGCCTACGTTCGCGGAGGCCATGAAACGACTCCCAACCACGACCCGGAGGCCGCTTCCGCGGCCCCTACGCGTCTTACCAACCCCGAAACGAAATCCCAAACGCGTCTAATGCATCTCCCGATCATGCTTCGCGCGATGCGGTATATTTATCATCGCACCGGCCATATGATCTACTGGCCCCTCCTCCTGCAGAGCGCGATTGCGTGGTTGATGGTGCTTTTGGCGAATCCCCACGACCCTTCGCAGCCCCCACGGCCGCCATCCGAGAAATCGGAAAGGCAAAATCGAACCAACGCCTCGAAAGAAGAAAAGGAAACGCACGCGATGCGGGCGATTCTCCTTCGGGAAGTGCTCGAGCTGTTTTGGTGTTGTGTGCGGTATGAGCCGCAGGGGGCGGAGGTGCTGCGCCGGAGTTTGGTCCATCTCGACCAAATCGAAAGGCCAACTTCGAACGAACCCGTGCCGGCGAGGCCGTCCGGGAAAGGCTTGAGCCCCGCGTACGTCGCGCAGGTCGGCGTCTTTTTATCCTCCCCTGCCGACCTCCAACCACGGCCCGCGGGGGAGCCGGACGACCCCGCCCTTCTTCTGCGCGACTTCTGCTTCGAGGAGGAGATCCGCGAGGTGAGCCGGCGGGTTTTTTCCGCCGCATTCGCCAACGCCCTGCTGGGGTGGGCGCTGCCGAGCGATCCGGCGGCGATGGAAGGGGCTGGCGAGGCGGGTTCCTCCTCTTTTTCCTCTTCCTTCTTGTTCTCGACCCCGATGCGTAGTCGGGCGAGCGGGATGCGGGTTTTGGCCTATTTATACGCGACCGCGCTTGCGGCCCTACAGGCGATGTGGCGGGAGCGGCGGGTGGCCGAGGCCGAGGCGCTCTCGCGGACGACCGCCGGGGGCTTTCTCTTGGGCGTCGCCAACGCCATCGCCGCGCGGGTTCACGGGGCGTTGTCCGTCGGCTTTTCGTTCCCGGTGAAAAGCCGCCCGTCGCGCGGGGCGTTTGGCGCTTTTCTCGACGCCCTCCGCGGGGATTCGGCCCGGGCGGCGACGTGGCTGGTGCCGCTGGCCCTGAAGGCCCCGATCGCGGCGGAGTTGGAGCGCGTCTGGACGGGGGTTCTCCAGCACCACGTCGGCTGGCTGCTTGGCGTGCTGGAGAGCCCCGGCGTGGCGGAGTCCCCGGCCGATTTCGCGGCGGTGGCGGCCTCCGCGACGAGGACGACCGCGGGGGATTCGCGGCTTCCCCGAAGTTCCACCGTCGAATCCCCGGAGCCGTCGGCCCTGCGCGCGGTGTGTGGCGACTTCACGCAGTTGTACGCGAACCTCCACGCGAGCTGGTCCAGGCGCGGCCCCCCCCCGCAAACACGCGCGGACGGACCCCCCCCCGAAAGGACCCGCCGACGAGGCGGAAACGGAAAGGGAAGCCGCCGAAGGGGCGGATTTCGCTCCAGAACCGGCGGCGCCCCCCGAATCGTCGGCCTTCGCGCCCCCTCCGAGCCGACGACGGCCGCGGCCGCCCTCTGCGGCCGCGGGCCCCCATCCCTTCCCCTTCCACCTCCGCGCCTATCCTCCGGACGGCGACGACGCGGCGGAAAACCCGATTCTTCGCCGCCTGAACGTTTTCTTCGCCCCGGCGCAAAATCCAGCCGCCGGGGTGGCGCCAGGCGGGGGATTTCTCGCCGCCGCGTGGCGCCGCTTCCGCCAAGGGCGGGCCCCGGGGATGATGGCGTTTTGCCTGCTCGCCAGTCTGCCCAACGCCCCCGACGCGACGAAAAACGCGGCCGCGGTGGCCGATTTCCTCCCAGGGCGGCCTCACGCGGGCACGGACGGGGCTGAGGCCGCCCGTGGCCTTTACCAGGACGCCCTGGCGGCCCTTCCGGGCGTCCTGCGCGTGGCGAATCCCCCGGCCAACGGCCCTTTCCATCGCGGCATCACCGCCGCCCTCCACGCGGTCCTCGCGGCGGTGATTCCCGCCCCGGACGCCTGGCGGACGACCTCCCGCGAGCGGGATCCGACCGGGAAGGACGATTCGACCGCCCCCCTTTCTTTTTCGTCCTCTTTTCGCCCGATTCCGGGGGATTGGGGGGGGCCGGATGGATGGGAAGGCGGCGTGGCGCTGCTGATGGCGGCCGCGCGGGCGATGGAGGCGGTGAGCGGCCTGCCCGGCCCCCTCGACGGGGCGATGCGGGGGCATTTGGCGAACCTCCTCGGCGTCTGCGCCCTCCCCGGCCTTCGCCGCGAAGTGGAGGGTTCTGGGGGGGTTGTGGGATGCGCCTG